CTCAGTGGAACATTGTTTGAAATATGAAATTGACTCCGTGCGACCGATTCTATTGCGACACGGTCGATTATTGTTCCGGTAATTGGCATCGGCACGGTTGCGTGGAAACGATGAAACGCCCCGTATCGTGCAGCGTCAGCTTCAGGACAGTGCCCGTTCCGCGTTCTTGGTGCATCGTCCATATGTCTCTTTCTCGCCTTCTGGCCGGATCCTCCCGCATATCGGTTCACGACGCCTATCATTATCAAATCCTCGTTAATACTCGTGAGTAACGCGAATCCGTTCGTGAATCATGCTGGGATTTTCAATCGCTGGACTTTCGTGGTAGCGTGCCGGTAAAAGTGATCGTAAAATTAATAATATATTATAAATAACTTGCTGGCACTCGATATCATTCTACAAATTAGAAAATTTATATCTATTTATATCCGATTTCACTATTGATCTCCGTACTTATATTCGGTTCAGTTCAACAAATCTTTAACAGCATCATAGATCTTTATTAAAACATAACTAAACGAATATAATATAAAAAGAAATTTGTATTATCATAATAAGCGTTTCATATTAAATATTTTATACATTATTTTTGTTTATTGTATACATTCTATAAATTTTCAATAACTACATAAACATCCTTATTGACGAAAAATAAATTTCGTAATTTCATTTCTTCTATGTTAACTCGGGACATAAATCTGGTAATTGTCGGTCGCACGTAGCTCATTATGCCATAAAACAACAATGTGAATACGTAGATGTATGAAATAGCCACATGTGTCATGAACATGGTATCAAAAAGTAAACCGTATGTTTTTACCACGGGATCGAGGTGCATTTGTCGCAATCGGCACGCCTCGTACGGTACAATCCGGCAGCTCCCCCGTATTGGTGCACGCGCGACACCTGTGAGATATCGATTTAAAATTCTAATTCGTCTCAATTCGAGATTGGGACGCTTGAGCAACCCATTTAGGACAACTCTACGCAGTTAGTTAATATGGTAATTTATGCCGAGTGATGTATGGCCTTATAAACCGGCGGCCGAGCTGGTATCGAATGTCTACTAGATCATAGGACCTGTTATTCGCGCGTGGGCGTGCTTTCTCTTATAAAAGTGCAGATTGAAATGTCATACCGGTCGGCGGTATTTCGCCGGTTATTAAAAATGTACCGTTGTGTTCCGTTCGCTTTTATTATTGTGCACGTACATAGATGAACCGGTTGAGATAGTGAAAGGGAACAAATAGATACTAATTTGTACCTTTCGAAAGCGACACCGGTAATCGTACGTCCAACAACCTCTGATTGAATATTCATAAATGAACGAGCAAAAAACATCTTGTTTAGTTTCTGTGTACCAGGAGATCATCCCGTGATGCGCGCGCCTCGTCAATCTTCTCCCATGTGACCACGTGGTTTTCTTCGTGCGTCTTGTGTTTGTTGCTCCCAGTAAACGTTAAATCGCTGTTTTCGCCGGTCCAAAACGAGATTTATTACGTAAGCGGAGCCTCCACATTCGCATGTTTGATTAATATCTATATAGACTGTTCGTTCTATCGTCATCATTTTAGTTTTCAAATAATCGAAAATATTTTGTGGTAGCGTTGTATATCATCTAACGTAGTTATAGAGTAGGTGGCAGAAAATTTGTATAGAACCCAGCTATTATGCGTATATGTTTGCTGTTACGAAGGGAGAACGGGGGAAGGAAAAAAATATACAGAATAGAAGAAAAAATGGGACACTGACCGTGACAAGCATTGCATGTCTACAACCGCAAAAGGCAATTCGTAGTGATAATAGCGCACAGCAATACACGTAATTCGATATAACCTATGTCGTTTCGCTGAACGCGAGTCACTTCGCTTTTCCTAAAAACCTGTTTCACTTTACTTTTCCTTTCTGGCATAGATATATGTAGATCAACATGGAGTTCAATACCTCCTGATATATAATGTTTATCTACTTTAACCTTCATATGAATTTTAAATACACGCATCTCTTTACAATATCATTTAACTTTATTCATTTAATAAACAATGAATAGTTATATATTTATAATAGGTATATATATTATACAATAGTTTGTATGATGCTACATATAAGCCTTTATAATTTTGGTAGCTCTTCTATTCTCGTTGTCAGAAGAATGTATACCAAATCAGAATTTCATGAAAATCTTAGCCCACCTATGCTTCCTCTGACTCAATCTCCAAATTATAGACCTGCTAAATGATGATTCTAAGCAACACTCTTCCTTCCCTTTTCTCGTCTTCTATTATCATAGAGTCATAACAAAAAAATGATAAAGAAACAATTTTTTGCAAAGAAAATTAGGTTATCTTAACATTCCCTTATTGCTGATCAAACATTCAAATTCAAGGTTAACTACTCCCAATAAGTAAAGAAGAAAACTCACTGATCGCTTTCCGAACGATTGTTTATAACGGTCGAGGTCGTTGTGCTATTACGTAATATCCTGTGGAAGAATCTCTGCGCGAATACATACTACTTCGTATCCCATTGAAAATCATAGCCGCAGCTATATAACGAACTGGTTTGGTTGCATCGCTGGGGAGAAACAGTTGCCGCCTAATCTCAGTTATGCGTGTTTAAATGCGAACCGGGTAAGAGGACAGGGATAACGGGGTGCGTAGTCGCAGTAAATTCGGCTCCCCGCTAGCGAAAAAGGAAGTATTCTGGTGCCGATGACTCCTCGAATCGTGGACTCTGTCGTCAGAAATAAAGTTAGTGGGGAGCACGTGTGTCACTGTAAAAAGCTAGCCTCTCCGTGTGCCGCTCACACGGCTCCGGACACACACGAGCTACGTGCTTACAATGAGCATTCAAGTGGCGCGCTGTTGCCAGACTTATATTGCCCACACTCCACTAGTTGCTTTTAACTAATTGACGCGTCCTAAAATTAATGCCCGCACACTATAAAACGCAAAGCGTCGCTTTTTTTCTTCTAGCTCCTCGTTGATTGATATATTTAGGTATATTTACAATGACAATTGTTTCTTGCGCTAAAATGATTGTTAGACAGGTGAACCAGTTAACAAAAACTGAGTTTATAGGTAAAAGGGATGAAGATATTAAGAACTGGAAGGCAAATATATCACAATGGAAGTATGAAAATATTGAATAGCATATTTAGCTTATTTTCAATAATAATTGTTTCCTATAATTAAATCATTTTTAGACAAGTGAATTAGTTCATTTGTTATTATTCGTTTAGAAAAATATTGATTTTTAGATAAAAAGAAAGATATAGGTTAGGTTTATCCTCAATAAAATCGTTTTTAATAATATAATTTTTAGATATGTAAACTAATTGATTCATGCTCTTCTTTCATAGAAACCTAGGATCTCAGTAAGGAAGACACGAAATAGGTTAGGAACTGAATGAAAACCGTTTCGCAGTAGAAATATGGAACAGTTAATCAGCACGCTAGGATACAGCGATAAACGACACGCGTAGTAGTTAATCGGTCGTACAAGTATAACATAATTTGACGTTGTATAGACATTTGTGACGCATTAGATTTTACAAGACTCTTCCGGAAGACAAGGACGTTATTGTATATCCTGTATATAATTGAATTGCCCTCGCGATTAATTATCGTGCGTTTTCGTCACGAGCCATTCAGTAATTTATTGATTTAAAAAATAAACGCCACTATCTTGTTAGAAGAATCAACAGCAACAATTAATTTAACCTTCAAATTTTGCACGACATGCTGAATGATATTAGTAGGAAAAACATCTAAGCCGATCTATGTGAGATCTCTTACCACATACATGAATTAGATTCGCAATATTACTCAATGTGCTCACGAACGAGAAAGTTCAAACATGGCGTGTGGGTTGTTAGAATGTTCAATAACGTCAAACAATTGACCTAATCTTCTCTAAACAACCTATTTGTATTAACTTCGTTTCGATCTTCGGAAGAATATGAGAATATAAATGAAGAATAAGAATACAAAAGAAAGGATATAAATGATGTTAAACAAGTAACTTAACCTTCAAACTTCCGAGCATTGTATTTGTATTAATTATTCAAACTTCCAAAGAAAAGCAAAATTATTTAAATTAATCCACGCGAGATTCTTGGCATGATATAAATGAAATTCACAATACTATTCAGTATATCTTCAAATGAGAAAGTTCAAACGTAACATGGAGGTTGTCAGAATGGTCGACAATAAACATAATTAATCCTAACCTTCAAATTCTCAAATAATCTATTATAACTTCCGAATAGTATCAAAAAAATACTGAAACCAATACACCTGAGATTCTTGATCTGAAGATATGAATAAAATTCGCAATATTACCCAATATCCCTGCAAACGAGAAAGTTCAAACGCGGTGTGTGGGATGCATCTCTCGGATATTGCAGCTACCGTCTGCGCGCGTTTGTGTACGCGTCTATGTATGAGAACGGTCATGTACCTGCAGTTTGTTGTGCATTGCCGCGTTGCACCTGCATGCTATGCCTTACCCGTTCGATGTGCCCGTTCTTATTTAAAACCAAGCGAAGCAGACGGCGACGGGATGCATTGAAGGGAACACGCAAAGAGTCGAGGGGATGCGTATATAAGTACCCAGCTTCTATTTTCGAAGAAAGGAAACAATATACCTCGCCTCGTAGGCGAAGTGCATTTACGTGGGTGTTCGATACAACGAGCATGCTTAACTGGTTCGACTGGCTTGAATTGTCTTGCAGGTTTCGAGGCATGCCGATGCATCATGCAGCCGGTGCTCGCGACATCCCGAGCACATATGTTCGATATGCTCGCATGCATATGTATATGTGCATATACAGTTAGAGTGCGTTTAGAATGGATGCTGTTACGCATTTCGCTTATGAGTGTATTACAGCATGAATTGGGCAGAAATGATAATTTGTGTACGGGAAAATATAGTGCATACTTATACGTACGTATAAGTACAAGTTATTGTATGTACGTATAATCACAAAAGTAGTCAACTGTTTGAATATTTCATATTTAATGTTCAGAATGTAATTGTTTACTGTACATTTTGGTTTGCTTTGCACATTGTACATTTGGTTTGCAAATCAGATCATCATTGTTAAAAATAAATTTCGAATTATTTTCTCCTTTTTATTCGATACATAATTTCACATAAGATATGTTGAATACCTAATATTAGATGATTTTATGATCGATTATACGTATACATTATATGATACAAAAAATGAACCTTAATAATTCATAAACACAGTATGTATTATACTATAGTTATAGAATCCCAGACTAAACATTCGATCTTTTCATTGCATCGCTTGTTAGTGCCCTAATCAGTTGGTCTTCATGTGTCTCATTCACTTTCTTCGTCACGCAATGGTATATGTTTTGATACACTTATCACGTTCTACGAATATGATGCTCGTACAATACGATTGTTGGATGAAGACTGAACGTTGTCAACGTACAGTAATGTTTGAATATTTGGGTCACAAATTTGTCCACTACTTTTGGACACTACTTGTCTTAATAATAAATACTCAACGAGTCGCCAGTAAGTGCTTGATCTATCGTCGGTCCAAATAAATCTTAATACTTAATGAGAAACTACGATAAAAATATATATTGTATGACAAAGAAGATAAATTTTAAAAATAGCAAATAGTCGCTAGGCCAGTTTTATCGTCACACCTGCATGAGATATTTCTGTTTGTTCAAAAGTCCTTGTTTACCGAGGACTAAGCAAGAACCGATGCACCTGCTGCGTATTTCCCTTGTCCTTGCCTTTGCCGATGAAAAGAATCATCCGAATAGAGCAAGCAAATGTGAGGTTAAGAAGCAATGCTTGAAAGCAGCCAGGCAGCATGAAAAATACTTCCCCGCCGATACTACCATGCGCGTGAATCCGTAGTGCGTAATAACGTTCGAAATAGCGCCACTGTCTCCGTGGCCGTTCTAGAAATTCGACGTGACTCAAATAGCGACATAAACGTTCGCGATTCATTTTGTATATTCTTAAACCTATTAAACCGTACCAATGTAAATTGGAAAGAACTTAATTGAACAACTACAATGATCCGTTATTGCTGAAACCATTTTAACGTAAGGTAAAACGTGTTTGAACAAAAGTCCCTTATATGTTATATTGAAGCACTTTCATGTGTCCACTCGTTTCCTCGTGTATGCGTCGCAATCTTACGCGTTCCATAATCGCCTCATATCAATGCAAGGAATTAAGAAAATAGATTAGGAGCGTAAGTGATAAAATGTATAGTCTCTCACCCTACTGTTCCACTAACAACTAACAAGTAAGTGTGTGAATTATTCACACTCGTACGAATCTCTGCGGATATACATCCCACACAAACGAAGATAAACGACAGGCAGGATATCGATAACCATGATTTCGTAACATCTGAAAAATCAGGTCAAGCTAGTCGATGCGTGTTATACATTTCATGTAATGGTCCCGTTTTAGGACCGATTTGGACGATTTAAGAAATTTTAGCATTTTATTATTGATTTAGCATTATTATACCACGACCATGACCTACTCTGATTCATAATATCATGCGAAAGATCACTATGGTGACATACTCTTCCTGATACGAAATTTTGTTTCTGTTTACGAATAATTTTTTTGATGAAAACGATTTTGACGGAAAATTGGCGAAATGACTTACGATAGTGTGAGGAATCTATTAAGTTCACCACGTGACTGTAATCAATCGCTTAAGTGACCCACGCCTTCTGCAACGAATGGACTATAGGTGACCCACGCTGTTCGTGGCTAATTGCTTGCGTGACCCGTATTGTAAATCGTTCATGAGATTTATGGTCTACCTTTTCTATAATTTACTTGCAAAATATAGTACGATCTATATTGAAACTAATTCATATTGGTTACGTAAAATTTATTTCAAGAAGGTACAATCTGTTGGTCGATAAAGTAGATTCCCCTAGAATCGATCAAAATTTTTCTACTAGACCACAGTGATTCAAGAGTGATTCGCGGGTAGTCCGCGATCGCGCAATGATATTATGAATCATCGGCAACAAATCGATCGGATCACACAGTAACGCGACGTTTCGATTATTCACTCTACCTTTTTTATTTCATCAATATCGTTTTGTAAATTCTGAGTATCTATAAAAAATTTGTATGTTTGATCGAATAGATGCAGTTCAGCATATGCAAATCACTGTATCGCGATACCATCGTATGACTAACCTTATTCGTATATATGTAGCTTCCTTTTGCATATCCGCTTGTACATCTGCTTTTTATATATATATGACATAGTGAATAGACATACTATATAACATACTAGTACTTCGTGAGTGATTTTATCGAAATCATATTTCATTTTCGGCCCATTTAACTTCCGTTTCAGAATGCTCGTGAAATTCAAAATAATTATACTATGTTGTACAACAGGGTTCACTATACATTATTGATTCCTACATATTATATAATTTGGTTGATATCATTTTTCATGTTATCATTTTTGAAGAATAAATTGAAGAAATTAACCTGTTTTAATCATTATTTAAAGAAGAAAATGAAAAAAGAGAAACTGCTTACGAGAAAGAACTATATCCAACAATACGATCAACTAACAGGTTTCACTATATTTTTACAAAACTATTTAAATTCACTCGATCTGATCACAAATGATCACATGCAAACTGTATTATTCACATATTGTAGCAATAAGATTAACTGACCAAAAATAAAAATTATCAAATCGATTTTCCAGGAATAAAATTATCAAATTAACAAAAACAAAATTTTGCTCCTTACTCAACCTTTCAGTAACTCGATGATATAAAGCGTTGAACCGATCGCGATTGGAGTAATGCCCGACATCCCCCCCCCCCCGCACTATGCTTGTGTGACGCTAAAGATTCATTTCCACCCCGTCGTCGAAACGATCGAAGGAATAGACCGTGACGTTACACTGGGGCCGGTTGACGCGCAGATGAGACGCGTGAAACGCATGCGCTCGCGCTATCGCGTGCATCGCGCGAGACATGCTCGCTCGTCCCTCTGTCTCCGTTCCGCGAGAGCGTACGCGTGGGCCGTTCGCGACGGAGGAACGAACGACGCGCGACTCGCGAGGAAATAGTGTCGATCGTAAGCTCCGGCCTGACGGTCGCGTTTCTTTCTATGATCAAATCCTTCCTGTGTTTACATCCGTGTGCGAGAAGTAAAAAACTGACGTTCAATTTCCTGCTGGAGTCGATTGTTCTAAATTATCAAATTATATTCAAGTGTTTTTTAAAAGTAATTTGAAATTTGCGTTTTTTTAGATTGCGACGTTGTGTAACAAATATATTTATATTGGTGTAAATTTGTTATCTTAGTAACTTGTTTTTTTTTGGTAACGTGGTAATGTGGTAACGTTTTAGTAACGTTGGTGGTCTTTAATGTTGAATAAGAAGGGTATGTTTAATACAACATTTCGAGAGTACGAGTTCTGAGAGCAAGATCTAGCATCGACTTCGAAGCCCCATTTTGTTGAAGTGAGGCTGGTTAGTAGATTAGCTAGGCCGCAAACGGGATGCTTTTCTGATTGTGTGGGTGTGTGGGAAGCATGCATTATGGTTGAATGTCGAATTGGTTGCATTGAATCGCGTGCTGAATTGACTCCGCGTGAGGATTCGGAGGGTAATTAAGGATTATTGTTTTGTTGACTTTTGTGTGTTATGAGAACTCTGGATTATTATACTTGTTTTTGCTAGGTGAATGTTAGATGAAATCTCTAATGCGAACAGAAAAATTCGGTAAAATCTCTGATACCGTCAAATAATCGCTAAATTTATATTTCTATGTATATCAATTCATGAATTAATTTTTTCAATTAAATTAGTTTACAGTACATTATTAAACATTAATAATAAATATTGAATATTATACTTATCCCAGGAATAAATACAAATATTATCAATTTTTCCAATGTTGAATAGGATAAAAACAAAGGAGTACTATTTGCAAGAAAATATCCGTGCCCCAGGGCCAATCCACTTGTTAACGTTCTGTAAAGTTCGCGCTCCAACGACGTGGTATTGTGTGGACACAATTGGACGTTCGTATATGTCCATATATTTAAACATGAAAAGGGCACGGGTGGATAGGTCTGATAGGAAAAAGAACAACAGAGAAACTGTTGATTGTGTTATATTAAGTTGGACAGAGTTATATTTATTTTGTCAATTTCAGAAAATAGAACTCGCCAGCTTTGACTGATAGATAAATCTTGTGGAGCAAACCAATAGCTCGTCCGCGGATACACAGAATGTTTTAGCTTAGGCAAAGCTTAGAAAAAAGCTAAAGGTAGAAGCTTAGGTAAAAATTTTGGACCTAAATTGTATATATCAAAATAAATACCGCGTAGTGACAGAAAAAGAATTAAAATATACTAATCCCATATAACATCTAAACAGGAACACATTTAATAGTTTACATAAATTTATAAGTTTTTATATAAGTTTATACGAATTTTCTTTCTTATTTTGGGATAGAATTTATACTTAAATTGCTGTTCATTTTTTTTTAAATACCAAATTTTTTGTGTATTATAATTTACTCTTCTATTGTTCTAAAAATTGTTTCCATACTCCGCGAAGTAGTCAAGTTCGTTCGTGTGAAATTATCGACCTTAAAAAGATTCTTTCTCCGCAACAAAGATTCTGAAGCTTTTAAAGGATTACTTTATCTCTGCCACGGTTTATGAGTACCGACTTAGAGAGGAAACTCCGCTCGTTTTCTTCATGTCGTGGGCATCATTTCGAATTCGTTTAAGTTTAAGATGTAAGAAAATCGAGGAATATTTTTCTTTCTCCTGTAAAAGAACACGTGCTCTCGTAGCTGGTGTGCATGCACGCGCTAGATAAATACGTTTGTACTCTGTGTGTTCACTCGTGCGTGGCCAGGCCGCGTGGGTGGACGATGGTACGTTTTCAAACATTTTCGTTTCGTGAAAGTCCGCGTTGCGACACTGGCGCTTGAAAAAATAAGTCGAGTGTTCGGTGAATCGAGAAAACAAGTCATTCTTCGGCTGCGCAGTTCTTCACGAAGAGCGAAGTAACATTGTTGGCAGCCGTTTCCGTTTGCTTGTCATGAAAATGGTAAAGACTCTTTTATAATTATTTCTGTTGATGATGTTACATTGTGTGATCTCGGGATCATTAATGACGGTTATTTTGCGATGTTTCTCCTTTCTTTCTTCTTTGGGAACTTTAGTCTCATTGATAAAAATGGAAATTTCAATGCATAATTTTTTAAGTTGCATAGATGTTTCGGTTTAATTGACGTTTACATAAAACTTTTAAATACGAAATTGTTAAATCACGCAGACCCGTTTTTTTATTGATTAGTTTCTGTTGATAATTTTCTGAGATCTATTAAAGTAAGGATCGGATGTAAGATCCCACGAAAATCACAATTATCGATACAGAGCATATCTAACATTCAAAGCTTTATTGATCATAGCACAATGAAAAAGTAATAAAATGGTTCTTAATTGTACTTAACTATCGTGCAATAATAGGGTATGAACTAGTACCAATATCTAGCGACGTGGAAACGATCAACTATGTTTTAAAGAGTCGCTAAATTGCCGGTTGTTCCTCTTATTATTGAACATAATTTTCTTGATCGTTGCATACGATGCATGGTGGCGCGATAATCGACTTCCTGCGCACGAGTAAACGCAAGGGGTGTCCCGACCGGTCGTGTTTATCTCCGAAGACAGTAATGATCGAGTCTACCAATGGTAGCGATCCATGATTTATCCT